TGATGATGATGATACGTGATGATGATGATACGTGATGATGATGATACGTGATGATGATGATACGTGATGATGATGATGATACGTGATGATGATGATGATACGTGATGATGATGATGATGATGATGATGTTGATGACTGTGATAGAATGATGGCTAATATGCGAGTGATCAGTAAATAACAGTGATGCTAATGACAATGCTGAAGGCATTCGCTGTAAAGATGATGGTAATGATGTTAAAGAGGCTGATATATAATGATGACAACAGCAATCGCGATGACATGCTAGCCCACCTCGTATCGATAATAACGTTGACGGTATTGAAAATGTCAGTCATCCCTGTTCTTACCTTCTTTCACTGCCACATACATCTTGTTCAACATGGACGCAAAGGCCTTCTGGTCCTTGTTGTAGTCCTTGACTGTCAAGTGTTGACGTTCAAGCATTATCCTACAGAAAAAAAATCACACCACATTAAATCCTGTCAACGCGCTTAGCTTCATTTGGACTTTCGAAAGTCTTTTTCCTTGTAATGTGTGTGCTTGGGTAATCCAAAACCCATATTACACATTGAATGGGTAATCTCCCTTCCCTATTCTCCTAGGCCTAAGCCCAAGATTCTTCGAGCGACATCCTTATTAACATATCTTCTCCATATGATTCTTAAGGAATGACGCGTGGTCTAATAGAAAAAACATTACGCTCATTCTAAAAGAGTCTGTTTTCCGCTTTAAATATCTTATAGCGGCATAAATCAAGATGTCATGACATGAGAGCAAGAGAAAGATACCTGAAATCTCGACTAATTCCACTCAGAAATCCAACATAATATTTCTGCTGTTTTTGCAGTTCTCCTTCTGCCACCAGAAGATACTATTTTCAGTTATTTAAAAAAAAAAGGAAACAGATAAAATATTAGTTGCTGATTGTGTAGTTTGATTGTGTTTTATTGTTATTGTTTGTTTTTCTGTTCGTCTGCTGCCGCCATTTTTAGCCCATGGACTACTACTTGTCTATCTGCCGGTCTGTCTGTCTGTCTGTCTGTCTGTCTGTCTGTCTGTCTGTCTGTCTGTCTGTCTGTCTGTCTGTCTGTCTGT